CATCACTATCACCATCATAGTTACCACCATCATCATCATAGTCATCATCATCATCATCATCATCACCACCATCATCATCATCATCAATATTGTCATCATCATCATCAATGAAAGAGAAAGTAAATGTTATCATCACACACGGCATGAGATGGAAGACTCTTGTACTATTCAATCCTTTATATTTCAGAAATCTTTGTTTTAAAAAACTCTTTCAACAAAAAAAGAATTAACATACGTTATTTGTACAGTAACATTAATTACTGTTCATAAATTACTGGTCGGTCTATAACAGCAATAATAGGCTTAAGATCAAGGAGACTGCATGCATGAAATTCCTTGGTCAATAATCGTTACGTATGGGTTTGATCTCTGACCCTGTATTATTTCATTCAAAGCAAAGACACACCTTGAATCATCTACTAGTCGTTCAATAGTCTCTCTTGATCTTCTGTTCGACTAACAATTCAAAATGTTCGCAATTCTTGGTATCTTTCTCGCAGTGATTCAGCTTTCTCGTGCTGACTTGTCCAATGAATACAAAAACAATGTCAAACTAGACGATGCATATATGATGTACTGGACATACAACAGCAGTGAGGCGGCAGTTTATTTTGCCGTGAAAGCTAAAGCCATGGGCTGGGTAGGATTTGGCTTTGCTAATAAAATAGACAACATGAAAAACTATGATGTTACTGTTGGATATGTGACAGTGTCGAAGAATTCCTACGATTTGAGGGTATGTATAATAATGCATGTTACTTAACAAGCGTTACTTTACTGGCATACGATCAGATGCCCTCTAAGATCAAAATATTTTGATCTATAGAATAAAATCAGTTTTATTTGTAGTAATTAAATATTTAACTGTGCAAATACAATAGCCACTTCCTAAAAGCATTCTATGAAGACTTGATATTGTATCGAACACCAACAACAGAAATGTCTCTTCAGTGGCGGATCCAGCATTTTTCAAAGGGGGGTTCCGTTTCTTAAACTGTGTATAATTCTCTTTTGTTTAGTCGATATTTGACAAGAAAATTGGCTCTAATCGCCTAATTTACTATCTAGTAACGGACCAAGCTATAATAACACGACCCAACGCAAAACTACTAATAATTTTTTATCAAAATTTATATAAGACGTATTTCTATTACCTAAAAGATCAAACCTTCAAGAGGGGTTCCGTGGACCCCTTCGACCCCCCTGGATCCACCACTGAGGGTAAAGTAAATGATAACATCTAGAACCAAAAGGACAATTTACTTGAACCAACACAGTTTTTAGTCATATTCGTGAACCGATACGATGACGACAAATAATATACTTGAATATCGTATGCACCTATCGCGTAACACTCATTGAATCTGTCCAAGTTGTTTACTCACACAGATTAAGTTAGAAGGAAGATTAAACTTTCTCCGGGCGCAACTAGAACAATCTATATTTTTATTTCCAATCAAGTACTATGAAAGGAAGTGAGGCAATAAATAGATAGATAATGTTAACGAGCGCTTGATAAATGACTTGTCGTATGCCACTGAAACATCATAATCATATCAATCATATATAGAAATATGGATTACTTTTGAATTTTGTCGTTCATTGAAGTGAATCGATCCACTCAGTGACCATACCCTAACAAACACATTTATTTATTTATTTGAAAATTTGTCAGAGGCAGGTAATTTACAAAAGAACACTACCCAGCCACATCCAACCCAGCCCCGTAAAATAAGAACCCCATCCCACAGCTATACACCCCATGCTAGAAAAAAAAAACCAGATTACCTATTAGATGAAATTTAAATTTTGTCTATAAGAATTAATTTAAATAAGCTTAGATTGATAATTTTAGATATATAGAGAAAAAAATTATATATAGCCTATCTATTATTAAATACTTATATTTACACGGCAAAGCAGTTCTCCTAGTTGCGACCGGACAACCTGTATACAACGACCACACCTCAAAAACGGCCACCTAGTGACCTGTATACAACGACCACACCTCAAAAACGGCCACCTGTACCTGACATATGAACTGTGTGGTAACCCAATGTTATGTTATCATCTTGTAGGACTATCACACCGAGGGCCATGTGCCTCCTAAAATCGATACCACACAAAGCTTAGAGGATCCTTCAGCCATCGAGGCTGATGGCTATACCACTCTGAAGTTTAAACGAAGGCTTGATACCAAAGACAAGAAGGAAGACATTACCATCAAGGTTTGTTATACATCATTATTCGCATGACTGAGAAACAATACCATCAACTTACTTACGACTGTAAATGACACTTAAAACATGGTGCAAGCATGTTGCGCACGACAGCGAGGAAAATTCGTACGGCATGAAAAAGCCTTTAGGCATATCGTACCCTGTTGGCATCCCGCAACGTTTGCAAGAAGTTTCATAATAGTTACTTTCACAGTTCCCTGCGCCATCTTGAAAGGTAGCCGTGCATTTGCATCGAAGCGAAACGAACGGCGAGCTTTCAAGATGGCGCAGGAAACTGTGAAGGAGAGGTTGTTTTGGATTAAAATGGCAAGAAAGTGATCTTCCAAACAATAAAACTAAACCTAACGAAAGGGGGGTGCTTTATGATGGGAATCAAAAAGTAGGTTCCGAATGGTGCAGTCTTACTGTACCGTGAACGCTTAATTCTCACCCATGACAAGTACCGCTACACCGTAGCCTTAAGGTTGGGGTAACTCATTCCGTTACTAGGTTACCACCGTTGCTAGATGGATTTTATATCTAATTTAATTCTAGTATTCAAATATTCGGAATTAGGTCGAAAAGCGTGGGATCTTTTTTTTTTTTAATTTTAATAACTTTCCTTTTCTTTTTTTCTTGTTTTCGCAGCCTGGATCTATGATAGTGGTTTGGTCATATAATAAAAACGCTGACGATGTGACTAAAAAACACGACAAGGAAGGCCACCAGAAAGTCACCTTGATTCCTGGTGCAGCATCCACTGCGCATGTCATTAGTTGGGTGATGCTGCTGACTACTTCTGCTCTCGCTTTCATGACGTCATAGACTTTTTAAATAATTTTTCTAATAAGAACAATTCTTTATTAGGTAAATTTAATAGCAATTGATAATTCAGATTGTGGCACTTCCAAAATAACATAAATTCCAAGCAAAATGGCGACACCAGCCAAGACACACGTAGAAAGACGGCTTATTTTGATTTTGTGAGGTATGCAGTCTTGTCATTAGTCTTTGCTTTAATATTTAACGAAATGGTTGTGGCGCTATTTAAGACAATTTGTAGACCTACATGTGAAATACTTGGAGGTTTTCAGTTTACTCAGATTAAATAAAATAGAAAGAGCCCCGGTTTTTTCCTCTTAGATTACTTCTCGTTTACAGCAAAAGCAACTTAATTAGTACGAACGACATAATAGTAGTTGTTTATCTTTTAGATGTTGAGGGAACTCGAAGAAAGTCTTTATCTGGTCTAATCTGTTCACCTTTGGGTGTCTTGCTGATTGTCTCATTTGTCACATACTGCAAGGAATCCTGGGCACCTTGAGAACCTGATTCTGAAGTTCGAAATAAGTTCCCAAACGACAACGCGCTTCTGTTTCTCAGTTTATCCCAGTTTTCTTGAGCCGTCTTAGTGCTGAGATTACCCTTTTCAAGTCTGTCAAATGATAGTTTTTTAGGCGTTTCATCGTCAGAATCAGTCTCGTCAGCATCGGCAGCGCTGTTCACACTCGTGTTAGAAAATGACAAACGACTTGCTTCATCACCACTGTCTGAACTAAATGGCGACATGTTACGTTCAAAAGGTTTCTTTTTCTCGCAATCAGAATCTTCATCCAAACTGCTTTGGGAGTTGGTTAATTCGCGGTCTTTAATGGCTGGTCTTTTGTTGTATCTTCGAGCGACGCTCTTTAATCTCACGATATTCGCCATTGTCAACCTTGTATCGATCTCGTCATTTAGACTAGTTTCATCTTCAGATACTTGATTCTCACCCGGAAGAAAGTCAACACCATCTTGGATGTCTTGTCCAAACGGGTCCAGTTCAATTTCATCGCTGCTGCTGCCCATATCGTTATTGGATCTGTTGGTAGCACTGCGGTTAAAAGTGTGAGCTGGGTGTAGGACTGTATCACTATTAGTACGTCTACTATCCACAATTAGCTCTTTCCTGTAATTGTTTATTTTTCCTGTATTTTGAGGATCATTATCTTCTTCTTCGTCACATAAGTCCTGGTCAGACGTTGATTTGATGGCACGAAAAGCTTCAACTTGAGTATTCTTGGCTTCTTCTTCTCTTGAAAACCTTTTCGCGAGATAACCGAAAACAAGAAATGCAGACATTGATGGGATAAAAGCGATGCCTTTCACACTCAAGGGAAACCCTAAATACTTGGAGTTAGTTCGAAGATCGCCTTGTCCGTATGTCTGGTTACCCAAGTGATTTGAACTATTCCAACGCCATGAGTAAGACACCATCTCACGAGTAGCATTCCTCAACCACGTCCTGTTACATACTGTATAGATATACCCGTCTCTATCGGTATACTGCCCATACAGGTAGGGATCGTAGAAAATTTGGTTCTTCCACATGTTGAGATCCAGAATCATCACGATGAATATGATTCCATAGTTGAACCATTTTCCAGTTATCTGGACTTCACCTCCAGGGACTTTGAAGTGAACATCACCCATATTCACTCCTGGTAGTTTAACGTCCATACCGCCTCTAAAATGCGGAAACTCCCAGTCCTATAAAAGTAGAATAAAAAAGTGTCAAACTTATGGATATCGTAAATTAAGAGGAAATTTTTTCAATAACGAGTAATAATGGCAAAAAGCGCCAAAAAACTAGACTTTCGTATGAGTTTTGATCCCAATTTTCGTTTTGGGTTAACACTCAAAACCTTTTTTAAGCAGTTAGAAACTGATGTACTATGATAAAATGCTTGTTTGAAGCGGTATTTTCAATCGTACAAACATGCTTTGTTGCATTTGTGCTCAGTTAGAATGTTGCTTTCTCAGGCTTTTTTATAGAAAATATATGGGAAATAAGCAAATGAAGGCCTAAACCAATTCAATCTTTGCTTTGGGTTAACATTTTGATTCCACTTTCATCGGTCATCTCCACCTTATACAACAGCCTTCCTTCAAGATAATAGTTTTTGGCGCTCACCGTTTGAATACGAAAAGAATTATCTCTTAACATGATTCAGTTGGTTTTAGCACTATTTGCCATAGATGTGAGCGCGCGTGGCTACTGACCTGCATAACGATCATCAAATCCATGACCAGAATAAACGACGCAAGAAATGCTCTTGACAGCTCATTAGTTGGCATAAAATCCTCGCTGATACGATCCCAATCCAGATAGTTTGTTGTTAACGATGTAAAAACCACCAATGACGTGCCAAGAGAAACAATCCAAAATGCGTAGACTCGATTCTTGCCCCGCTGCCACCATCGTCTTAGACCACGTGCCCACCACTCGTATTCAGACTCCTAGAGCAGACAAGTGAGTATACGCTAGTACGCATGCTCAATATGTTATGCCACTGATCAGCAGCGTAACGCCGACCAGTGGCATAACATATTGAACAAAGTAGACCTCTTTAGTTTGGGCTTAATGTTTTCCCATTTCCGACTACGTATCCTTCTCTTGAGTATCATTTATTATTTATTTGAAGATTTGTCAAAGGCAGGTAATTTACAAAAGAACGCTAAGTCCCCTAAGAGGTAATTCAAGCATCATTTAGGCTTGTTTAACGATTGCACGAGAGACGACACATGAATATGCATACAATTAAAACAAAGAATTTTATTTCCAAGAGAATTACACATGCTCTAAAATGTTTATTTTATGTTTTATTTTATGTTTATATCTATGTATAATTATTATCAGTACTTCTGCAAGTGTGGCGAAATAAACTATTACTATTATTTTTGGTATCGTTCGGTTGAGAATGGAAAAATATCTTCAAGTCATTCAAAATGTTCTCGAGCTGAGAGAGACAAGCGATTTTGCGCTAACTATAAATCAGAAGCGAGCTTGTTGAAGTTGACCTTGCGCGTGTGCAAAGTGTTACGCTACTGACCTCCAGCTATGGCATTCTATTTGTATGTTGTATGAACAAAGCGTAACACAGTGAAGTACCTGTAACATCATATCAGTGACCATCCAAGCCGTGATAAAGTCACCAAACCACGTGCCCATGGCTGCAACCTTCATAAACGTCTCATTCTTTATACCCATATTACTGCTGACCTTGTAGGGAATGTATTGCGGGCCACCGAGGATTAAGAATTCATTGTAGCAAAATCCCCAGACGTATGAGAACAAGATTACAGTCAGGAACATCACCATCCACGAACCCTGTCGAGTAAGGGGGATCGTTTTTTTCTTTTATTTTACTTTCAAATGTTATATTTTCTTATGATTTTAAGCACGATTACTTGAAGCAATTCTCTCAGTCTGCAACTTGTTTAAAGCTGTATTACGACACAAGCTGCAAGAGCGTTTACACAGTGCAACAAAGACGCAATCGTTATACGTTGCCAAAAGTGGAAACGAATTCTACTTTTTGAAAAGACTGCAATTTTTCTCGCAACATTTTAAAAATTGCGCTGTAGATTACACGCTGCAATGCTCCATGCAACTTGTGTCACAACATTGTTGCGAAAGTAGAATTCATTTATTGTGTCTCCGTTGCACCGTACAGTACACACTCTTGCAACTTTTGTCGCAACGCTTTTACGAGACAAGTTGCAGAGAAAATTGCACCGTATAATCGCGCCTTTAAGCTAAGGCACTTTGATAGGAGGGATTTTAAACCCATCCATTGTAAAGATAAAAAACTGAAAATCGATCCAGCTAATGTAGAACTAATCATTTATCTCAGAATTGTAGCCACATACAGGCTTTATTTATATTCTAGTTTCCAGATTAGGTCTAAGAGCTACTATCTTCTAGATACCTCAAACGCGCATTCATACTTACGATTCCTCTTTAAAATCAATCTATTATCTATCTATTTAAAACGTTTATCTACCGAGAACACTGTTTTCTTTTTTTAATCGCTTGAATAAACTAGGACCATACTTCCAGACATCGAGTGCTGAACCGTCGTATGGCAGCGCGAAGCATTTACGACTACGCCGGAGATTTCGACCCCGACACCGCTATCCGAGGACTTACAGACAGACCAGGATCCTCGGCCGACGCCTAAGGGAGAGGTTAGTCGGCCCCTAGACCGTAGATAATTAACCCCTTGCTATGACCACCATGCCCAGTATGACACTTGTTTCACTAATGACTTTGTACGCATGGTCGCTCTCTTCCATGTGGGATGCGTTTGAAAAACTAGCCTTGACGTATTTATGAGATTTGCGCATACAAAGTTTGAAAGATCGATTCGCAGGACATTTAAGTAAAAGTAAAGGAAAAAGGAAACTTCTAGTTATTTCACGGATGCTTTATCTCATGTATTCCAAATCAATACTGCGCGCAAAATCCTTAGGTCTGATCTCGGGTCGACCAAATGCGATAAACTGCAAGTTTGGGGGATATTCTCGAAATGTTATGAGATCGCTATCCGGAAACAGCCTCTGGGCTGATCAAAGTCAGGGTAAATAATATCTCAACCTACCTGACCAGATTCTGAAAACATCTTGAGTTTCCAAACACGGCAGAATAGAAACTTGTGAATGAAGTATTTACCAAATATCATGCCAGTTGCCATGGAAACGAGAAACATGAAAACCTTGAGGACACAGAACCCTGCGTCAGGGGGATATCTGGGATAGAAGAATGAATAACAAGTATTAGTATGTATCTTATATATTTTCTCACGCTCTGATTGGCCGATAACTGTGCTTTATTAGTGAACAGAGCACAAATGCTGACGCCTTCCGCGCACGCGCATCAAACTTAGGAAAGAAGTGTAAGAAAATAGCATTGACATCTAAAAAATTTTACTTTCTATAATATAAAACAAATAATATAACACAGGAAGGGATGTAAGCACTCAAGAAGAGCGAGCGAAGAGAAAAGAAAAAACCGATAGAATAGGCTAAACGAGAATATTTTTTCATCGTCAAACATTGAAAATAATGAGCCTGTGACTAAAGCATACCTACCTTGCCATAATAAATGAATAAAGATTACCAATAACATCAATAATACAATCAGAACAGCTGTGGGAAACAGGATCCTCTGCAAAGATCAGAAAGTTGCAGAAAATCACAAAATATGACGTGAATATCCTGAAGTATGGATGGCGAAGATAGTATTTGAAGTTGTTTATCTTTTTCGTAGATTCCGTTTCGTTGTCATTTTGGTTCTGCGGTTCTTCGTTAGCTTCCACGTCTTCGTCAAAAAGAAACGAGTCATCGATTTCTTTCACTTGTTTTTCATCAATTTCTGGAGCGTCGTCGTTGCCATGGGAACCCAGTTCCTGTTTGAGATAATCACGAAGGTAAGTATAATTTTCATATCTTTTGGGGAACAAATTGAAAAATTTCGTATTTCGACTCATAGGGAACAAGGGAACAAACAGAAAATTACCGGGGAAGATGGGAACTTAGACCCCAGTGCGAGGGCAAAACCTCTGCGTGTAAATAACCTGAAGCGAGATGACGTTTTACCCCCGACTCTATACCATAATGGTTCTTAAAATTCTTTCATATTAAATTTTTTGATTCCTTAGAGAATACAGGAACAATAGTCATAATTAAAGAACAAAAGTAGTGTGAAAAGGATTATGGTCTAGAGACGGGGGTAAAACGTCATCTCGCTTCAGGCTTATTTGAAAGAATTTTCTTAGAGTATTTATCTGACTTACTGACCTACCTGTGTAGCTGTATTAATGTTATGTGTGACGTTTTGTTTGACTCGTTCAGCTCGTCGCTTTCTTCTCTTCAGTCTCCTCAGCTGTCGTTCCCTTCGTACGTCACATCTGTACTTGCGCAGTAGTGCCTCGTCACCATTCTCCTCTTTACCAAACAGCCATGATAAATAACCAAATACACAGAATGTTAGAAGACTGGGTACGAAGGCCAAGCCCTTGAGTCCTAATGTATAGCCATTATACTTAGAGTTCATGCGATGGTCTTCCAGCCCGTAGGTACGATTGGTTTTTGGATTAATGTGATTCCACCTCCAGTTGTATGTCATCATAGATTTATTAGACCATCTGAAACAATAAGCAATATCAATATTACCCTTGTCTAGCCTGAGACATATACGACAAGTGGCCATGATGGACAACTCATTGTTTATTATGTTTACTTTTAACGAGTAAACCTCTTCCCCTTGGGTGTAATGTGTACCCATTTCAGACCACGTGTCATTCCCATGAGAATGAGATTCTTCGTTTGAGTTATATCCATATTCACATGTGTCTTCTCATGCGCTGCTGTTAAACAAAGAAATGATACTCTAGGGAATGACACGTGGTCTGAAAAAATGTCGAATTACTTTGCCCGAGCTTTACGCGAGAGGTAAACTTGCAATCAATTGTTTTAGATCTGTTTCGAGTGACATATTGGCCATGACCGCATTAAAACCAGTTAGTAGTAAGGTTGAATGGATGTTTCTGTGATGGCGTCTATTACCTCAAGAACTGTTTATCAGACACAGTATAGATGTACCCTTCGTTGTCAGTGTACTGGCCGTAGCTCAGTGGATCATAAAATATTTGATTTTTCCACATATTTAAATCCAGGATCATGACAAGAAAGATGATTCCATAATTGAACCATTTGCCAGAGATATAGACATCACAGCCGCCTCCTCCCAGACACCCAGGCACGTGAAACTCGAATGTGTCAGTGTTCAAGCCTGGGAGCTTGACGTCCAGCGCACCAGCAAAGTGGGGAAATTCCCAGTCCTACAAGAAACAAGATGTTGTTTAGATGAACGAAGAAGATACTCGACAGGTTAGAGTTGTAAGTAAAAAGACACCTGTTTGACTACGGGATGGGATAAAACACCTTTTATAAGATACTTGAAAGACAAGCTTAAAATCGGCTTGACATGAACTATAAACTTGATTGACATGAACTATAACCAGCTTGACAAGAACTATAAACTTGCTTGACTATAAAAGACTTACTTGCATGACGATCATCAAATCCATGACGAGGATAAATGAGGCAAGAAATGCTCTAGACAGCTCGTTAGTCGGCATAAAGTCCCTGCTTATCCTGTCCCAGTCCAGGTAATCCGTACTGATGGCTGTAGTAACTACTATTGTCATGGTAACGGCGGTGAACCAAAAAACTATGACGCGATTCAGACCTTTTTTCCAGAACTTTCTGACTCCTTTCGCCCAGTCAGGATACTTGAGACCCTGAGAATGATAAGATACTAGTTAGACTACCATGAGCTTATTTGTTTTATGTTGGATAAGTCAGCAACGTACTGGTGGAAGTATTAGCCTCTTTATCCTTATCTCTTGACAAATACTGAACAGTGGATGGAACGGAATGAGTAGCAAACCAACCCTTACAATCCACCCTCGCCTTTCCTCAACCTGTCCCTACCCCCTGGGGCAGCAGTGTAGTCACCCTACCTGTAGCATCATATCCGTGACCATCCATGCGGTGATGAAGTCACCTAACCAGGTCCCAATGGCTGCCAACTTCATGAACGTCTGATTCTCTATGTTCATACGGCTGCTAGCGTGAAGACCGTCCATGTATTTACCTTCTAGCATCAGAAAACCGTTATAAGCAAAGCTGAAAGTTGAACAAACAACATAATATAATATGGTTGATGGGTTAATATGATGCACCGTGCACTAGACTAATAAATCTTTACCTTGGGCGCATCGTTTTCCCATTCGTCAAAGCATGTGTCATTCCCTTGTCAATAAGGTTGTTTGTTTGAGTCGTATCCATATTCATGTGTCTTCTCATGCGCAACCGTTAAACAAAGAAATGATACTCAAGGGAATGACACATGGACTGAAATGACTAAACATCAGTACGCGCAAGGTAAATACTAGTTTTTATGATGAATGTTGTTGAAACCTTTAACTTTCGTTCGTTTATGGAAAGCAAACACTTGCTGGTGCAAAGCAAGATAAGCATGAATCAAGCCGGTTGCCATGTTCGATATCATCCAGTCATTACCATGCATTATCAACACAGCCATGAATGTATTTGGTGATTACCAACATGAAATGAGTGTGTTTTTTCCAATATTCGAGCCAGTTAAAGTTACCTAAAAATGTATAGCGATAGCATTGAAGTCAAGAACATCACCATCCATGGACCTTGACCATCTTCCGTAAACATCTTCAGCTTCATTTTATGACAAAAAAGCCACTTGTGTAAAATGAACTTGCCGACTAATAGTCCTAATACCAGAGCGAATAACCAAGTACCAAACTTGATAAGGATAAAAGATCCTTTGGGGTACCTGTGTTGAAGAATCACACGTGATATCAGTCAGCTGTTTTTAAAATTTGGTCGAGTATTCAAGAAAGTCATCCAATGATGGTATTGTTATAAGGAAGAGTTGGTTTGACCAACAAACGGTCATCACACAAAATTGCTGAAATCCTTATTCATTTGAACCAATCACAGCGCGCGAGATCACTGCTTGTCCAATAAAAATGCAGTTTCACGGTTACGGACATACGGCACGTCCAGGCACGGTAATGGCACAACACGACACGCCACGACAGGACACGGCAAGGGCAAGAGCGACACGGCAAGCGCACAACACTGCACGATACGAAACGACGCGGCAAGGGCATGACACAACACGGCACGTCGTGAGTTCAAACTGAGGAGTCACACTAATCTACTTTGTTGTAACGCACTTCATGTGATGTGTGAAAACATGTTGTTAAATATTCAACGTAACACCAAAAGAACCCACTTCTCGGAGCGTCTCTTCTATCACTTTGCGAACTCTTTTTGTAGTGAAAATCTAATTTCTAAGAATGTATTTTTTTAATTTTCAGAATCCATTGAAAAGTCAAGGAGAAAATTAGTAATATCAAGTGATGCGCATGTATTGGGATACCATGGATAAAGTCTATCTACTTCGTACTCTCGACTGAAGGACAACGAAAGGTGAGAGTATATGATATCTACTGACAAGTATAATAACTTAAGTCCATCCAAGCATTGACTCACTTGACGAACACAAGCGTGTATATATCCCCAATATAATCGATAGTACATTCACTGTAACTATGGGATACGGGGTCCTCAGCAAAGATCAAGAAATTACAGAATACCACCAGATATGCGATACACATTCTTGAGTAGGGATGACGAAAATAATATCTGCTGCGTTGGACGTCTGTCTGTTTCTCTTCCTCCTCGTAGCGTATCAGATCTTTCTTCGGCTGGAAAACAACACGCTTACATTGAACACACTTTCTTTGAACTAGTTTTCTCGAAAAAAAGGAAAAACGTTGAAGAACTGGTATTTCGATATTCAGTATGTTAGCAATTTACCATCTTGTTCTTTTACTCCGACGAAGGACTAGCGTCCGAAACGTCAGTAAGTTTTTTATCTTTTCACGGTGTATAATTTACCCTTTTATCATCTTGTAGAAAGATTTTCTTATTTTTTTCTTTATAAGACAGTGAAGAAATGTGAAGAAGTGTAAAAGTTCATAAAACGTAAACGTTTTCAGTTATCAATTTACCGTATTACCTTTACAAAGGGAAACGAATTCTATGAAAATAAAGAAGCCTGTTTTGTATGATTTCCTACCCAGTATTTCTTCCCCAGTTCATGGATCTTCTGTACTTCCCTAAGTTCCTTCGGGTTGATGGTGATGATCGATGGATGTACCTTCCCTGACATTTTCGATGCCTCGTTTTTCGAATCCAAAATCTCTTTTTCTTTAGTTCTACTTATCTCTAAAATTATGGCTGGTCTCTATGACAACACGTTCTTTCCAACCACAGATTGTATCGTTTGGTCAGTTAAATGTGTTCATTTGCTCATTAAACATTTATACTGAACGCCCCAGCGAGTTTCGTTGAACACGGATACATGATCGTTAAAACATGAGGTGAATTTGCCAATCAACTGTCAGGATATGTGCGGAGCAGATGGCTTGCGGTTTTGACCCAAGGGGGGAGGGGAAGGAAGATGCGATCGATAGGACTATGCGAGGAAACAAAGAAATGACCTCGACATTGAACCTGCCGTGTACAATTTTCTTAACTTATCTGGCATTCGAATAAAGTATTTGTTTCTTGAAGTTTTTAAAATAAAATTGAACACTGGTATATTCGACGTTTCGACGCCCTCCGGCGTCATTTTCAAGAGTGAAAGTAAAGCAAAGTAATAATTTGAACACATAAAATTCTGTAAATCCTCATGAGAGTCTTCGTACATGTTCAACTATTTGAATACCTTCGCTTTGAGTGAGTCCGAAGAAGGCCTAATTTCTTTTATGAGGAGAATTCCTTACATCTAGCATTTATCCTTTTATTACATTATTTTCTCATTTATTTTTACAACTTTAATTCATTAATTTTTACTGTAATATTCAGGGTATATCTTGGCAACATAAAATCACTCTTTAAAAGATTATCACATGACATACCTCTGTCAGGTTAGGTCACGTGATCATCATGCATCACGACGTCATGTAGTAATCGCTGTTGTGGTATAACAGTTCAATGCTACATAAACGTGCAAAAAATAGCTTGCGGCCAAAATTGAAATAAAATGAAACTGAAATAATTCACCCCGGAGAATAATGCGAGTATGTAGGCCATATACAGGTTATTGTTTGTGCCGATTGTCAAGTAATGCAATGTCTGTCCTCTCCTTTGATAACTCCATCTCTTGATACGAGTAATGCAATGTCTGTCCTCTCCTTGATAACTCCATCTCTTGATACAAGTAATGCAATGTCTGTCCTCTCCTTTGATAACTCCATCTCTTGATACAAGTAATGCAATGTCTGTCCTCTCCTTTGATAACTCCATCTTTTGATACAAGTAATGCAATGTCTGTCCTCTCCTTCGATAACTCCATCTCTTGATACAAGTAATGCAATGTCTTTCCTCTCCTTCAATAACTCCATCTCTTGATACAAGTAATGCAATGTCTGTTCTCTCCTTCAATAACTCCATCTCTTGATACAAGTAATGCAATGTCTGTCCTCTCCTTTAATAACTCCATCTCTTGATAATCTGATGGTTTTTCAGGCGCTCCTTGCAGTTTCTCTTGCTGATCGAGAAAGAGAACGTCAATGAACTAAGATGTAATTGTCTTGAAAGTTTCAAAACTCAGTATTTGCCAAAGGAACCTCAATGAAGACACTAATGCCCTTAAATAATAGCATCGAAGAATCTCGTATCTTGAGCCAGGATTGTTTAAGCATGCCCTACTGACTGTCTACGAGCCATGCTAAGGTCTGATATGAACGTGTTGTGAGGTCCGGTTACTGAAGCTCGAGTTTCACCAGCACTTCCCCGGTAACCACTTCATGAAGAAGAAGACGCTCGACCCAGGGTCCTTTTGAGTTAGTTTTCTTTCGAAGACTTGAAAGACTAACCTCTGTTCGACCAAGAAAATCTGAAAACGTAGATATAAAACAATCGTTATCCTAGCACCAGATAGTTACATGAAGCGTACTTTAAAACGTACCGTTTGGTGAAAACAAGTCTCTGTCAAACACTGTGATGCACAAGACGTCTTGCTCCATGTCTTTTATAACGAAGCTCATGGTGGAGTTCCACTTGGGGTTGAGTGTTTGCGGACAGACCTTGGTCCTGTGTTCCTGGCTACCCATACTGACTTCACAGTAGGGATCACTCAGACCTGAAGAACATTGATATGTAAGTCAATACCGTATATCTTGCACGCAGATGAACTGATGTGAACCCACCTGAAGGATCAGAAGTAGCAAGATCCTTTCCTTCGAGTATAGTAACGACTAATGTACCGATGCCTGGTGTACGCAACGAACGAGCTACGAAAAATATCAAACAAATCCATGTTAATAACTTATACGAAATGAACGAGCTACGAAAAATTTCAAACAAATCCATGTTAATAACTTATAAGAAATGCACTTGGAAAAGGTTTTTTCTTCCCCTCATATAATGGTGATTGGTTGATCATGTAGTACACTCGTCCTGCTCAAAAGGTAGTCCTACAGCACTATACTACTAAGGGTTACAGATACAGCCACATGTCACGCAAACTACCTACAAATTCTTGGCTTTTGCACGACAAGACTCTAGTACTACAGCAAGTCAATTTTGTTTTTAAAACCCTCGTCGGGCAACCGATGGGGAATGCGCAACGCCGTTGTGAGAAGACAACAACAGATTCTTTCAAGAAGAGTGCCGCGCTTGATAACTAAGCGGGAAGAGCAGAGAAGGCAATTTAGATCGAATATGCGCAAGTATGGTACCTTAAACTGAGACAAAAAGTCTGTCACGCGAAGAAGGCAACTTACATCGAACATGCGCAAGTATGATACCTTAAACTGAGACTAAAAATCTGTCACGCAAAGAAGGCAACTTACCGCATCGAACATGCGCAAGTATGATACCTTAAACTGAGATCAAAAGTCTGTAACGAGAGAAGAACACATCGAACATGCGCAAGAATGATACCTTAAGATAAAAAGCATGTCACGCGACATGTCAGCCTACATACAGGGATAGTGACATGTTCACTCACTCACCTCTGTGTGCTTTCAGCCTCGTGAATCGTTCTGTCTCGATGTAATGTTCAGCAGCCTTCTCCAGATGCTCGATCCATTTGTTTCTGCATCAACAGTATTAACATCAATGTTATTCGAGCTCGAATCGTGATTGGAACAGGGATGAAGAACAAACTAACGGTGGCTTACCTTTCTAGTTTACTGTCCGTTTTGAGAGTGTAAACTCGATCAATGTGAGAGATTTGAAACGAGTAGTCGTCAGCTGAAAATAAGTAAGACAAGATTGACAAATAATAATCATAAAATGACGTGAATAATGGAATCAGTGGAAAATGCAATCCCCCAACGTCATGCTGTCAGTTGTGATTGCTGCAAGCCGTTGTTGTTGCTGTTGCTGCTGCTGTTACTATTGCTATTGCTATAAGTGCTGTGGTGACTTTTTTTTTTACGTTTTTGTTGCCGCTGCTGCTTTTGCTTTTGTCTCTGCTGATGTTGATGCTTTTGCTGTTGTTCCTGCTGATGGTGCTGCTGCTATTGTTGCTGATGTTGCAATTCCTATTGCTGTTTTTGTTGTGACTGTTTTTGCGTTGTTGTTGTTGTTGTTGTTGTTGCTGTCGTTGTTACATATATATCATAATAATATTGTTTACTTACAGTTAAGATCTGCTGGTCGCTTGACAACAACTTCATTCAGGAAAATCGGCTGAATAAACAGAGAATGGATACTCGTATATCAACCAGATCTTTAAGGTACAGATTCATTCAGCCTTGGTTCTCCCTACTTACCTTTCTGTATATTGTATATTGCGTAGCTGCTTCATTGGCATCAAGTCCTATCTTCTTTGACAGGTTACCCGTAAGAGAGCTTTGTGGTCGCGTGAACAACAGAAAGTCATTGAAAAGAAAGGCCTTTAGTTCTTTACCACTCTTGACCTGGGAACATGACAGACAACCTGTCAATCAAAGTACAAAACAAGGCAACAAACACAAGAACCAAACACTACCTTGTAAAGAGTCCCTGAGTATATTAGCTTGCGCGGTCCAAGGCAGTTGGTCGCAGAGTTGAAGATGAGTTGCTAATGAAAAAGAGAAGATAATCATTTATAAAATGATACGAGTGGTCACGCCATACTCGATATAAACATGGTACATACCTCACCCAAACCTTCTAGATTGACATGTGACTGAAGCCATTCTAGACGGTCTGAACTTTCTTGGGAACGAACACCTTCATTCACCTGATGACAAAGATAAAGTTATCCATTCAGAAATGCTGGATATGGGTTGCCTGTGGTAGTGGATTCGTACCTGGTTACACAGTTCTTCAGCCTTTTCTAGAGCAGATTCCAAGTTTAAGCGGTCAGGATGATCTTTAGGCGTGTACTTCAACAACTACAATATCACAAACACTGTTATCAAAACTAGTCATTTAATGCGAGGCTAGTGGGACAAGAGTTATACTTGGTAAGTAAATACAGTTGTTGCTATGGATACCTGTCTTATTAGCAGTGGGTACTTGCACATTCTCTGTAAAGGTTTCAGTAGATAGCTGCTCAACGGTAGACCCATAGCACGAGGCTCTGAACAACATTTCTACAAAACAAACAAACATATAAGAATTCACATGGATTCCCATATGGTCTAGCGGTTAGGATTCCTGGCTTTCACCCAGGCGGCCCGGGTTCGACTCCCGGTATGGGAACACTTTTTTTTAACCCTTCCACCATTTAATTTATAGAATTTTCCTTTTCTGTTCGTACCTTTTCTAGTTGTTTAAATTCTGGATTGGTTTCGATTTTTTGTTGAATAAATTGACAAGCCTTGAGTTGTCGACTACAGAACCTGACATACGGCGAGAAATGAGGCAGCTAAACAACAATAACAACAACAAAAAAAGCGTTAGTCTCAATGGGACGCCTTAAATAGTTAGAGCATTTCACAGACAAGCCACCAGCTCAGAAACAGACAAAAAAACAGACTAAATTTCCAATTATAAATGTTGAGTCATGATCGCGCTGATGAATATATAGGTTGATATACGATAGAAAAGTAACCAATCACAATGCGCCATTACCGATATTAGTTTCATAGGGTTAGACGATATGATTTCGATTACCTGTTCACACATGAGATCTCCAATCATCACGATAAGACCGTTATTCCTCATTTTCTTTCGAACCAGAAACGCCCTGAAACAAAATTAGACGCTCGTGCTCAGCCATGTGGGATCCCCTACATATTTGTTTTGCGCATGCTCATAGATATAGTTACACTCACTTTAGTAGTTTCGTGTTACAGTGTATCAACTCTTTCCAGTTGACAAAAATTGTTGAAAGTTCTTCCATTGTTAGGAGGTTTGACTCAGCCAGTGGGTTATAGAATACCTGCCAATAGAAACAGGAATTTGTTATTCGCTATATTAGGAATTAGAGAGCCGTTCCAGTGCAAACGATATGAGGGACAGTACCTCTAGGGTCAGACTAAGATGGTCTACATATGTCTGCTCTGTGTTGATCAATTCATAGATTGCATTCTGAAAAAACAACATAAACAAAAAGTCAATACGTGTTATCTAGAAACACGCCGCTGCCACCAATGGGCAGTTACGTGATGCATGTACCCCATGACTCTAACAAATAATTTGGAATCGGAAAATTCACAGTGTAATAGATATTTTTAATGCGTAAAACGTTATGAGTGAGATCTCCTCTGTTGTATACCTGTCTTTGTCGCTCGACGTCAGACATTGATGCCAAGACTTTTGCATCGAAGGATCCAGTCCCTGTGTGGATAAAGCAGATCAGGTTAGTACACGATAACATGATACTACTCAAGGTTTAAGCAAATCCAGAATTCTCACTACAGATTTAAAACTAAATATTATTTTCTTGTCCTTAATAATTCCTCACGGATTGCTAAAAATATACTTTTTACCATTTTGCAATTCGCCAAATCCACTCGTCACTGTCACCGGTTTTTTTCGCGCCATTTTCCTGCTCATTTGTCTCTTTGACTTTTGATAAGAGAACATACTACGAGCTGACGATCGCAAACCAGTTAAACCGGTAAAAAACGAGAATTCCCCTGATTTAAAGCCCATTGTTCACTCCAGTAAACTAACGCTGCAAATACAGTACTAGAGTGCAGACTTGGCTTTATATTTAGCGAACTACCTCGTCAAATTTTACACGTTGGCAAGTATAACCTGTGATATTTTTAACCGGTGACCACATCCCTTGATGTCACACACACACTGTCACGATTAGTATGTCACGCCTAATACGACACCACAGAAGCACATGTCTATATGTTTCGGGAGGAAATTGATTTTGATCCTTTTTTCATAAAGTAAAAAACTAAATATATTTACCGAAATGGGTTTCATTGATACGAGTTTCATCTTAATACCAGGAGCAGAACATCTGTGTTTTTCTTACGTGTCACTTGGAGCCAATCACAAAAGACAGGCATGTTTATGTTAATATATCTAACCTTACAAGTCATTAAGCAAGATGACATAAGAAATATAGTTGTCAGGATTGTTAGAAAAGAACCGCACTTATCACAACTCGAGCTTCAAAAAAGAACGATTTTCATCAACAGTTTTCATCCCATCCATGATTTTAAAAAAGAAAGGAAAAAAAATTGCAATAGAAAAAGAAAACATTTTCTTTTTCGTTAAATTATAATCCTTGTAAACCAAAAGTTGGAAACTCTTGACAACATTTCTCGCGAATAAAAAAGATCAGTTTACTATCGAGGAAATGAATGAGTTGAATATATACCATCCCATTAATTCCAATATTAAACGATCAGAAAACGGCAGTATTCTATTTATAGCTAGTGCTGCAACAAGTAACAAATATTGCATCAGTCATAGAATAACGATATACTACTAGTTGTCATAGTAACTAAGATATACGACATAAATATAGTACCGGATAAATGTGATAATGAACGAAGAATCGACGAACAAAAATGCTTTGGGAACGAACGCTGGCTAAAAATGCAAAGTAACACAACGACATTTTGAATACTAAAACACAGACCATTTTATTGGATCAATATTGACAAAGAATGGTAGGGAGGGAGGGGTGGGTGTGTACTGTTTGTTCTAGGAAGTGAGTAAGGTTAAGATTGTACTATTGGATGACGCCATTATAAGGGGTACGGCGAGGGTAGTACCACGTAAATACATTTGAAATACAACACTTTGAGTAACAAACAGAGAAAGCTGTCCCTAACCTAGAGGGGGAGTCCTTTTTCTCTCTCGTTCTCTATGGGACCCATATACATAGATTTGACTGGAATTCCTTCAAGATAATGAATTCTTTTTTCCATGAATCTAAAGAAAACTAAGCTTAAAATGATAAAAATAAAGAGTAATAATTATCCACATCCTCTCTCCGCTCAGTGGCTTATATCTTATTCATCTTAACGATCAAAGGTATTAATTTTTTATTGGATAAGAAGTAAAGTATCTCGATCATTTGATTGCATTGTATCATATGATTAAGTAACTACAAGCAGTAGCGGTACAAGCAGGCCTGTTTAGTTCATTCATTTTATAACGTGTCTGCTCCCAAAGCATTTCTGTCGACTTTCTTCTGCCAGAATTCCTGGAAGAAAATGAAACCCGCATTAACTGACGGAAAACACCTTACTAGAGTATGCTTTAATGTTATAGCTAAAAGTATCGACACTAGTAAGATATGAACGGTTGGATGACGTAAGGTTACTGCACGGCCGGACGAAGTTAATAAGCAACATTCACTAAACTGAGATAAGCTATTTGATTATCTTAGCATAAAGCATCGTATAATTCTCACAATGGTTTATTATTTGGTCTCTGTTGATAGCAACGTTTCTATATTATATTTTAAATATCTATCACTGAAGAAGAATACCCTATTTTATTAACGACACTCTTTATATTCTGTTTCTTGTTGTATATTCTATTTCTTCTTGTATAGGAAACCTAGTTCTTCTCAAATAGCTAATCTACTTATGTAAACGAATGGTATCCATAGTCATAAACGTCATGTTAGACAGACTAAAGACAGCCCTATGGGGAGGGGGGATAGCAAGTTAGACGTTACACGATAGCATTGTGATTAATGTTACTAACAGAAATGCCTCCTGATGAATGGGACTAACTGGATGTTGGTATTTGGTAACATGATTAGTTGGCAACAAGAAACAGTGTGGCTGATTTCCAAGGCAACCATACAATAGACAACGACTTGAAAGATAGCATATCAAGAATGAAATCTATCATGCTTTTATAATCTATGATATTATTATTATTATACATACACTGTGTTGTTGATTCTGGCAGGTCACTTAATGCTTGTACGTAATTAGAGGGAAACATTCCCACTTGTCCATTCATTTCTCCCTTCCACCAGTCTCCGTCACGGCTAATGACATTGATAACACTCCCTTTGTAAAAGGTAAGTTCATCTTGATTCTGTGCTGTGTATGGGAACATGGCAAGTACTTGTTCTAGTTTAGCATCTGAAACACAAACACTCTGTATTAGTTGATGAAAATAACTCTTATTTATGGAACTCTGAATCTCTCATTAGGGACAGAAGTTCATAACTAGAATGTCCAGATATGGACTTCTGGTAGAGACAAAGCTTACTCACAGATCAAGTTGGCTTATTTCATTATGAAGTCACATGAAAACAATCTTTTAACACAAGCAATAATCATGGTAATAAGGAGACAAAATGGCAACAACACAAAGAAAGCTGTAAAAACGTCTTCTAAAGGTCTATTCCACTGTGAAGTAAAATTACTTGCAAATTGTTGTTCTTGACCATCCTGTTTGCCTTATGAACAAGCTGTGACGTCACGGTTAAATAGGGCAGTTGGAAGTTAAAGTGTTTGGCTTTAAAGAGGGTTAAGAACTGGATCTAAAATTTTTCTTCGTTTTATACCTGGAACTGCAGCTTTGTTGGAGGGTGGAACTTCATATATCTGACGGCATAAATACAAGAGGATTACTACATGAATACAGTACATGTCAATAGAGTTAGTGATTAAACAGGGTGTAAGTTACTTACATTTGCCTCATCAGAAGGTGTGGTTCCCCCTGCCGCCGTGGGTGTAGGGGTGGGAGAGGTTGATTTACTGAGGATTTTCACATGGGTTGACGGGAATATACCACTCTGACGTTTCTTGCCACGTGCCTAAAAAGACAAAAACTGAAGTCTTAGAACAAAGAATATTGAAAAAAAAACAGACTTAAATAAGTTGCTTGGGGTCTAAGACATGTCTTCAATCTTGGATTTTTAAGTTACCTGTAACTCGCCGTCCCACCATCCACTGGGGTCTCTCTTGTTAACACGGATGAGTTGCCCTGGGGCCAAGCTTAGCTGATCAGGTGATGTAGCTGTGTATGCTGTGATTACTGTAGCAATCTCTGTAACCAATCAATAGTGAGGATTTATGAATTAGTGAATGGATTAATGATAGTATGATGATAGTGTGTAGATCATGTCATGTTTTCTTTACCTGGTTTTGATCTTTGTGCTGCTACAGGACCCTTCAAACAAACAACATCAATTATTGTTATCATCTTATACTAAAGATGTTTCTAGCAAACAAACACTGGATAAGGGCGGATCGAGGGGGGGCAAAGGGGGGCTAAAGCCCCCCTTCAGCAGAAAAAAATCACAACAATACTGAAGAATTAGATGCTTTTTTTTATTGTTTTCCGTTGTGTTGAAGAACGAAACTCGATTAGCCCCCCCCCCCTAAAATTTTGGCTGGATCCGCCCTTGCTGGGCTCCATATTACATGTAATAGCGTCTCTCACTTGATGCAAGGATTTTCCCAGATTCTCCACTTTTCCTCCATCCACAAAACCAATATTAACTTATTCAATCTGTAAGTTGGCTGTGCCCCAACCCAGATCAGCCCAGAGGTTGTTTCAGGGTTGGATCTGTGAGTTAGCTGTGCCCCAATCCAGATCAGCCCAAAGGTTGTTTCAGGATTCCACAAAAGCCATCTTTACTCTTATTTATTTATTTATTTATTTGAATGTTGAAAGAAAGCTGCTGAAGAGTCGTGGTGGGACCAGCTTTACATTTAGTCATTACTACTTGAAGAGGTTACCTCATTTTCCACTTTCTTCACATAGTTGGCAGGGAAGAGGCCATGTTTGCCACGCAGCTTGCCTTCCCACCAATCCCCATCTGATTTAGTTATACTTATGGCATCACCCTGTACAAAACTCAAGTCTCCTTCTTCTCCATCATAAGGGTAGAGGGCAACACACTCTGAAACATGACCCATGTCTAGTCAGTACTACAGTAAAAAAAACAAAATACAAGTGCTACATACTAACTCACCAAACAGGACTGGCTGGTTTTGCTCAGATCTGGTCTCAGAGACTGGTTCATTTACAGCGGAGAAGTCACTGTTAATGACGTCTGATTTCGGCTGCAAACTGTTGAGGAAATAATAGTAGAATGAGTGAAAACAACTAAAGTTCTGCTAGAAGTAAAATCATTTCTTGTACAGGGTATCAGCACTGTGGTGTTAATTATGGCAGAAGATGTGAGGTAAGCTTTACCTTGGGAGGGTAAGAGTGAAAGCCCTCATTATGTTTTACACAAAGTGTGAAATGAAAGATAGCATGACAATTAAAAGGGGCTCCACTAGTGAACCAATCAAATAGCACTGATGTCTCCGGAACATGGAAGCCATTTAAGAATACTGCAAATGTTTATCTAAATATAGTATATCTACTTACCCAGTAGTTGCAGTGTTCTTGGCTGTATTACTTGTGAGCTTGACATAAGACTTAGGGAACCATCCTACTTTACCATTCAATTCCCCAGACCACCACATGTCTTGCTGTTCTGTGATGGAGATGAGGTCCCCCTTTGCAAAGCTAAGCATATCATCTTTCTTTCCTCTGTATGCATAGAGAGCCACTGCTGTAAGTCCTTTAGGAGCTGGAACACCTCCCTCTGCTCTTGGACCCTGTGAAATAAATCCAGGTCCTTCAGTGATCAAGAAACTTTATTATATTCCATAGTGCTCCATTATGATGTCATGACAATGCTTCGCCTTCAACGCTGTAGCATCTATTTTGAAAGTGGTCCAGTTTTTAAAAAAGGTGGTCCTGTATTTTTGTTGTCTTGTGTAATAATTAGATCTTATTAACCGAGCGGGAGGTCTGTACGGGATAATCTTGACCGAGGTCGGAATGTACAGACTGAGCGCAGCAAGGTCTGTACCCGACCTAGGTCAAGATTATCCTGTACAGACCGACCAAGCTTGGTTGATAAGAGTTTTATTATAGGACCACTTTTCATTGAAAAGGACAAAATGTTTTCGCCRTAAGATTAATATGCGATCGGACCTGTTAATACCTGAGAATCTAGACCAGTCCGCGATGCGATCTATACAATCAGATTGCTTGATTTGCTAGTGTCCAGGCTCTAAGATTCACGGTCATATAATAAATATTTTTACAAGGAAAAAAATGGTTTTGAAGGTAAAAAGTGGTGCAGTTAAAACAAGGCCAACCGTACTGGTGGCTATTCACTATTTTCCATACATTGGTTCACTGGTCAAACACAAAGCACTCAAGAGAGGTGCCAAGGTAATTTCAAAGGATTATTCAAATTTGAACCTTGCAACCTCGACTGAATGCTTTGTGTTTGACCAGTGAACTGATGCATGGAAAATAGTGAATGGCTCTGGCCTGGTTTGTTGGTATCGATATATAGACTATATGTTAAGTGTATATAGACTGTGAGTGAATATATAATGACCTGTTCTTATCACACTTACATCTGTGGTAGTAGTATTAGTAGTCATGCTGGTTGTGGTAGTGGTTGTTTCTCTAGCAGGATGCACATTCATATGTACATCGGCACTTTCGCTACCACCCCCAAGCTGTTGTGATATTACTGCTACAAGTGACTTGACTGAAACATCTGGTACTTTCTCCCCTGGACTCGTCGTCTCTGGGCTTGTTGTCTCTACATGTCCTGTGGACCTCTTGGCCTCATCTTCTGTAATACTCTCTACATAGTTTTCAGGGAATAATCCAAACCTATCTTCACTTTTACCTCGTAGCCAGCCAGGAGGTGCTTTCATGTTATCAAGGTCCACCTATGATATAAACCATCAAAATAGAGTATAACTACTTCCTCTAAAACTAGTTCTGAAGTTAGCTGTAGACTTAAAAGGAAGTTTCGTTACTGAAGAAATAAAAAATGTGTGCTTGTGCTGTGTGGTTTCAAAAAGTATTCACTCCCAACCAATCTTAATGTGAGAGTTATAACAGTTTATTTAAGATGGTTCAAAGAAAAAATGTCTCATTATTCAGAGTAGCAAGACTAGTACACAATAATTATAGTGCAGTTTTCGTATGACTGTGAAAAGTTCACGGCACGAACACGGTCGTGACACAGCAAGGGATATGCCATACAAATCCCATTGCACGAGAATTTACTCTCCATCCAATCAAATACCCAGAACACGGCATAAACACGGCGTGGACACGGTCACGCCAAAATCACAGCACTTTTAGACCAATCATATTGCGCGTGAAAAAAAATTAGCCAATTAAAATTCTAGAAAGTATCACGGTCACGGTACGTCACGCTTACGGCACTGAACTTTTTACAGTCATACGAAAACTGCACTAATGTACTTACTGTTACAATGTCTCCTTCATCTATTTTCATCTCGTCTGGATTTCGAGGATCAAAAGAAAACAACCCTCGGTAATACTGTACATTCTTTTTGGCAGGTCTTGGGCGTGGTCTGGGCACTGCCACTCCTAAAAATAACAAGAAAATGACAGAATAGTATAGATTATTTTATAAAACAAATGAAAGTATAATTAATATGATGGTCCTCAAGTCAGATACAATACATGTATAATACTGTGAATTCACTAATATTATGCCAACAACCTACTGACAACCTGTTGTTACCTTTTTACCAACATCCTATTTCACAACCTACCAATACCCTACTAACAATGATTATGGGGTCATATTTTTGACTATTTCCTATTACATATACATGTACATTATGTCAAGATGGGCATGTTGAATAATAATAGTTTTGTATTATTTTTATCATTTTAGAAATTACCTTTTTTGGTTGCAACTTCTTTGGTCTCGGAGGTAGTAGTAGTAGTTGTTTTCATACTCCAAGTCTGAGAGACGATATTCTCTTGTTTCTTGGCTGGCTCTCCCCAGACAGATACTGGTTTAGAGATGATATTCTCTTCTTTTTTCTTAGCTGGTTCACCCCAGACAATTGCTGGTTGAGTCTTGACAAGAGTCTGTTGTTGCTGTACTACTATTTTATCTTTGGTGAGTAATTGTTGATCTTTTCTTCTCGCTTCTGCTTCTTTTGCCTCCTGCATGCGCCGCCTGATCTCCTGGTCTTTTCTTTGTTGTTCTTGTTCTTTTCTCATTGCTGCAACAAAAAACCATGAAGAGTATGTTCAATCATTAATAGTATTAAGATTAATGTCAAAGACACCAGCACTGTCGGTCCAGCATGTCAGCATTAGGTACCTTCTTGTTCTCGTTCTTTCTGTCTTCTATTCTCTTCTTCTTCTCTTTTGCGCTTTGCATCCAGTTCCTTCTTCATTCTTTCTTCGTCATCTTTCTTCTGCTTCCACATGGTGTATTCTCTTTGTTTAGATTCAACTGTTTGTTGTAGTCTTGTGTTTTCTTCTGTTAGTTGTTGAACATTATTTTGAGCTTCCTACAATACAAAGAGAAATCACCATCTCCATTCATCATCTCCATGTGTCATTACAAAGGCATGTACATAGATTAGGTTGTAATGTTTAATCAAAAATACAGTGTTTACAGTCGTTATAGTACAGTACATACAAGATTACCTTAAGCTGTACGTTCCAGGAATCAAGTTCTTTAAGTTTCTCATTCAAATCTTTTTCCAGATTATTTTGCATTGTTTGTTTCCTCTTGATGGCAGCCTTGCTGTCCTGTAGACTTGCCATTGCGTTACCATGAGCCTCTGCTATTGACATAAAAATATATACATTTCAATAACATGTATCAAGTGACTGTAGAGCTTTTTTGTTTTGTACATGGAGTTTACATTTGCTGGTACATTCTGACATTCTGCAAACTCACAAAGTCTTTGATACTAGTTTACAGGGATCTTTATAATACCACATGCAAATAGACACACAGACAGACTAAATGCTACCAATGAATACAGCATAAAACTCTACTCTCTGAATATAGATCTGTCTGGATTTAACAGTTTAAAAGACGACTAGGTAAGACAGTAAATAGATTATTAGGTCTGCCTTGTCTTACCCATTTTACTTGTATCTCTTTTATTCAACTCAAGAGACACTCTTTCCTTTTCATTACTCAGGGCCAACAGACGTTGCTGATATTCCTATGAACGGAAAAAAGAATCAAGCATTATTTTACGAGCTCTAAACATTATGTTTAGATGGTATACCATTGGTTAATCATAGCATCACTGACACTTTGTGACAATGCAAAGCCTCAACTGTACACAACATCCATGCACTCCAGTAAAGGTTAGTTGGTACATCTTTTGTCATATTGTTAAATTTAAACATTCTTGGTAACTGTGAAGCTGAAACAAGGCTTGGTTTGAGTAAATGGGTAGGTAGGTATTCAACCATGCAACATAATGGTTTACAGTTCAAAAATGTACAGAGTAAATGCAGTACTTACCTTAATCTCACACTGTATTCTGTTGATATCCATTCTACACATTTCTTTTTTCTGGTTCACATCATTCAGTGTTGTCTGTGCTTCTGTACACAGCTGTTGTTCTTGATCAAAACCCTGTTGGGCTGCAGTTTTCTTGCCAACCTTCATAAAAACAAAAACCATTGAGACTCAGTGAAAGTACATTGTCTTAGCGGAAGAGATATCGTTAAATCACAACAGTTGACAGTCAATAGCTGGCAGAGCAACCATTGGTTACTGATATATACTCTGAGCACAAGAGAGCTTTTCTCATGCTGTCAAGTAATGGAAGTTTAAATATTGTTGCTTTGCTGTCGTAGCTGCCATGTCAACATTTTATGTTTATGCAACTTCACATTATCATTGTCATGAAGGGTTGCTGCTGCTATTATTGCTACATGACAAGGTATGCAGTGAAATTTCTCTCAATAATCTAAAATTGCTTTACCAGCTGTCATTGTTACAGGACAAGGTACTCGGTGAAATTTCTCTAAATTGCTTTGCTAGCTGTAAGAAAGCAATTTCACCATGTATTAGCATGGTTTTCGTTAACTTTTGAAATAATTGAAGATCATGGTAGTTTAAGACAGAGAATTTTGCTTAGTCACAGGAGCATTCTCTAATCTCTGGACCCTTACTGTCAGTCAACTCTCGTTACAGCTGACATCCTTGGGACCGTCAATTCATGTTCATAATAGCGAGCATCCGCAATAGCGAACAATATTTACGGTCATTTCTTTGTCAGTATTTTTGTTGGGTATTTTTCTCCTGTCTGTAATAGCATGGTGTCTGTAATATTAGGGTGTCTGCAAGATGAGAGTTGACTGTACTAAAAACTTGATCAACATGTAGGTGTACATACCACAACTGCAAGATCATCCTTCAGGTTTTTCTTCCTTGTCTTCAGGTTGTTAACAATATCCTGCTCTAAACCTTTCTGATTCAACAACTCTTCTTCTTTCCTCTTCTGCCATTCTAGTTGACGTTGTCTCTCAGCTTCTATTTGTTGCGCCAGTCTTTGTTGTATCATCTTCTTTCTCAAAGCTTCTTGTTCTTTTTCCATTTCTAGTTGTTGTTGCCTCTGTTTCTCAATCTCTGCCTGCCGTCTCTGCTCAGCTTCTAGTTTTGCTCTTTGTTTTCTTTCTTCTTGTTGTCGTTCTTTGGATTCTCTTTCATCCCTTTCCCGTTTTAATTTTTCTTGTAAATCTTGTCGTCTCCTTTCCAACTCTAGCCTTCCTTTTTCAAAATTCTGTTTACGCCTGTCTTCAAATGTGACTGAAAAGAAAGCATTTCATATGTCAACCATTATAATTTGAGGTATTATTTCATATTCTATATAAATTAACAGATTAACATTACTATTAACATATTGGGGCATATTTCAGCCGATAACTATTGTCAGACTTGTATACATGTAGTTTATAATGTTATAGAAGAGGATCAAAAACATTACTTACATATTCTCTTGTCCTCTGCCATGCTACCTGACCTTGATCTACCATCAAGGCTAATGTTACTACCAGACCTATCTCTCCCCTCACTTCCAACACTATCAGAGTGCACTCTACCCTGGTAAGCCAGCGGCAGAAGCTCCTGGGGTACTTGATTGGGTAACTGCTTTCCTTGTTTGGCCATATCCACAAAAAACATTGCCAGAGCAAATTCCTCAATATTTAGTTGACTGTCTTTATCTAAATCTGATAAACTCCTGATGACACAAGAAAAAGCACTGACATTTAGAGCAGTTTTCACATAACTATGAAAAGCTCAGTGCTGAGCTGTGATTTTGATTTTTTCTACAATTTTAATTGGCTGATGTTTTTCTCACATATCGTGATTGATCTGGCAGTACTGTGACCGTGTCCATGTTGTGTTCATGCCATGCTTTGAGTCATAAAGGTTTTTCCATGTTATATGCTAATGTTGTGACCTATAAGGAGTAATCATTCAATATACCAAACATTACGAGCACAGATATATTAAATTTGAAATCCTTCATTGTTTTCCCCCATTGCTCTTATGGAAATGATTGCAAGTTAGTTTTCATATAGAAGCTGGTGTTTCGAATTACAAGGAACAACAAATAACTATAAATGCCTCCTCATATGTCACAACATTAGCATATGACATAGCTTATAGAAGCCACACTCAAACTATGACCTTTATCGGGTTATTCAACATCTTACCCCATGTAGATTCAATACTGTGAATGTTAGTCAGAAGGGTAATAGGCACTTTAATACTAATGTAAGGAGTATGATACTCACCATATTTTTGCCAGTAATGTCTGTGAAAGACCAGACTGGATCAATACACTCCTGGCTTGCTCACCTACAATTATATAAGATATTAAGCAAGTAGCATAACATGGTTAGTTCCATAGTTTTTATATCAAAGAATAGAGACACAAGCACATATTCTATATTGCTTGATAAAATAATTATTTCTACCTACGAATAAACATGTTCATGGTATCTTACATAGTTTAAGATAAAATTAATAATGTAAACAACATAAGAAACGCATAAAACATTTAACACGCCATTTATAATATGTGTAATCTTTTTTTTTTTATGTACCTGATAAAACTCCAGTATTTTTGAAATCAAGAGACTTAAACATCTGGTTATACTTAAGTCTTGCAGCAGTAGCAATCGTATTTGAACTAGAGGTATTCATTGTTCCTTGTAAAATATTCCCTTGGCTTAATGATGACTGTGGCTGGATGCTACTGGTCATTATACCAGGTCCATTAGAAAATCCTATGTTTGTTGTATTAGTATTAAACCCTCCACCACTTTTCATACTGAATGACGACGATGGAACACCATATGATGTTGCTGATGATATATTGGGTTGGTTCATACTTGACCAGGAAATTCCAGATGATGGTGCAGGTGATATATTTGGTTGATTCCAGGAAATGCCAGAAGATGGCACTGGCGATATATTTGGTTGATTAACTCCTGACCAGGAAATACCAGAGGATTTAGGTAATGTCATACTACCAGACAGGTTCGTAAAACCATTTGTCACACCCTGTGGACCGTAGCTAGGGCTAGCTTTCTTACCAGGCTGGTTACTGGCAGGTAATGATGTCATCTTAACTGTGTTCGGTAGGACAGTGGGAACTTCAATTCCTTTAAGTTTGTTTTGTATAAGGTGCATTGCAACAGTAAATTCTTGCATTGTCATCTTGCCATCGCGATCAAAATCAGAAAGACTCCTGTAACATAACATCAACAGATAATACATCATCATCATCATCATTATCATCACCATGACCAGGTTATCTATAACGAATGCTTACCATATTTTTCCCAGAACGATAGGAGGTAGGTTAGACTTGAGAAAGAACTGTTTTGCTTGTTCTCCTGCAAGTTGATTAATAAACATGACAGTTTCAACAAACAATTGTACAAAGCTGCAAAATAACCACACCCGGGGGAAGGGATATGAGATGTAAATATAAAATTAATCCTAAGTTCTATTATACCCCCATAACTTATAGATTGGTTATGGGAACACTAGCTTGGCGGAGGAGGAAAACCAGTTGAAAATTAATCCAACTAATTTATTCATATTTTTATCTGCAGTCTGAAAGCAGTCTGATACTGCAAATGTGATCAAGTCAGCTTAAGCATAAGTACCATAAAATCAGACACTGTCTAATATATCGGAGTAATTGTTATATTCACTTCATTACTAGCATGGACACTAAATAATAATAACGGTTATCCACCGCCTAGGTGTTTGTGTTCGATAATCGACAATGATCGAGTAACAGAATAGACAAATACTAAACATGTGGTTTTGAAGGAAAGTGTAAACACTATTATAGTTTGTACTGTTAAAGCAATTTGAGGTCAAAAGGAACTCAGCGATAAATCAACGACATCCCTCACCGGATAGAAAACCGCTCATAGGTTTTAGGCTTTGAAATGTTGTTTCATGCTTCATTCTTTCTTCTGCTGAGATGACCCACGGCCCTGGTAAACACAACAAGTTCGATCAGAGATATATTATATTGGTTGTATTAATCAAAACCAGAGTGCGTGAATGAGTGAGTGAACAAGTCAACATGAATCAAACGTATCTGTCACTGATTCAAACAACCGTATTTTGACTCTAAAACTCTCAAGCAGAATAACGATTGAGGTGCATACCTTGAGAAGAGCCAATGCTAGCCATGATCAGTGTATTCCCTACCAATCTGTTAGCTCCTTTTCGACATTGTACGCATATTGAGCTTCACAAACAAGAAATAGTAGTAGCGGTTGTCTTTCTAAGACTTCACTTTACAGCGACATAACAACATAATCTACGGCTAGATTACAACCAAAACGATACCGATCGACACTTTTATCATAGGACAATATACCCACAGATACTCAGACACATCGGAGTCCTTCTTGGTGTTATTTTAAAGGGTTTAAAATAAGAAAAATGTTGACAAAACGAGACATGTATTTGAACGGGAGGAACAGGCCGACCTGATGGCATCTGACCAACACTACTGCGACTGCGCACAACTCACTACACCCGGCCACAATGGCATTCTGGGTAGGAGCAGAATAGTCAAGTGAATGAATGGGAACCGGAGAAAAGGGAAAGAATGAAAGAAACATGATAAAATAGAAGAAAGAAAATAAAACCACCACATAACAAAAGAAAACAACAACAAAATCAAAAAAGAAAAAGAAAAAGAAAGACAGAAATGAAAAAGAAATAACAAAAGAAAAATATGGCCCAACAGTTCACGATAGGATTCGAATATTCGCTTCTCTTTTTCATATTTTTAATTATCATTTTTTAAATATTATGAAGTAATAATAGCCAGAGGAGACTCTAGGTTAAGGCCCCGTCCACACGTATCCGCAAATGGATACGAAAATGTTTGGGTCCAAACACAGCGCCTTTGAATCGTTTTCACCGTCCACACGTATCCGGAAATTTCTTTCGGAGTGTATTCGAAAACTTCCACTCTAGAAACCGTTTCCAAAAAGTTCTGGATATGGATACAAAAATTTCCGGACATGTGTGGACGCAAGCTGTATCCGCAAAAAAAATTGGTGAATACACAAATTTGCGGATACGTGGTTCATTGAGGATGATTTTCCTTGAAGATTTTTAAATTGTGGTTTGAAAAAAGTGACTGCATAATTGATGTGTTCACACCAGATGAAAACAACAACTAGACTCTAGGTTTAATAGATGACACTCCATGAGCGTACAGTGGGAACATTGATCAATCGATACAGGGTGTGGCTTAGAGCATGTCTGACATGACATGGGTGGACTACTGAGGAGACTACAGCCATAAACTTACAACAAGCAGATGATAAGAATCACACTGTTTTACAACAAACAAGTAGATTTATTAACACCAACACATAATTCCTCTTTTCTGCAAATGCAGGTAAGAAGTAGATTTACATAGAAAAAAATACACCTTGTCTCATGTTCTTATTCTACGATCCAAAAAGCTTCTCTTTTCTTTGACTTCAACACCAAGTTTAAATTTTCTGAACTTATATTTGTTCCATTTGGTGTGCTGACTTTCTAGAGGTGGTATATCTAGCTCTTTGATTACTTCAAGGTATTTTTCAAAGTTGGTTTTCTCTAGATACTTGAGTTTCTTTTTTCTTTGATCTGTGAGCCACTGTAAAAACACTTTGTTATGCTTGTCCTGAAACATGAGATTAAACAAGTTAGATTATGTTGTATTTTATTCAAAAAGAAAGAAGTAAATATGTAACTGGGGAACATCTATTTTGGCAAACATATTGAAAAAAGGTTTACTCATTATCAGCTGTTACACCAACTGTCCCTTTGAACTTTTCCCCAGTGTTCACAAACTCAAAAACTTTACAAATCATTTATCCTTATGATCAACCTTTACCTTGGGCAATCTCTTGCAATGACTTTGCAGTGTATTGATTTTTAGTGTTAATTCTGCAACTAATTAAACATACAAAACACATTACTAGATATAAGTATCATGCTCCATCGCCTAGTATCCCTTGGAGGGGGGGGTACTCCCACAGGAACTCAGTGCAATAAATTATATCTTTTGTCATAAACAGGGTACACAAATAAATTTGAGTTTTTTTATCATAAACAGGGTACCCCTTTCAGAATCCCACCGGAACACCCCTACCCAAATTCTGGTGGAGTACCCCCCCCCCCCCCCCCAGGCTAGTATCTAGGGAATAGTGGATATGATCTATTAACTTGGTCACCAAGTTCTGCCAATCTTATACCATCCTTCAATGTACATGTATATGGAAGGTATCCATTTTGTGATAAGATTATTAAATACAATAATCATCATACATACCAGTTCTTTCTGAATATCCATCATATTTATCCTTTATTTCTCTTCTTATTACTTTATTTTTATCACGCTACAAAACAAACCAATTTCATTCATTAACCTTTAATAACATTTTGATGTTTTTTGGGAAGGACATATGGTGTAGCTTGTTGGTTCTCTTCTGTGTTTTAAGGGTTTTCTAGGTTCTACCGTTTTCCTCCCTCAGCAAAACTCAACTCTCCTTGAACATAGAACTCTATAAATAACATGTTATACTTCACAAACATGATTGAATAAGAGTGGCCTCTATTTATGCCTACCTGATTTGCATTTTCTAGCCTAAAAATCTTTTTTACATTCTCAGGTGCACTAGAAAAAAAAAAAAAGAAATATGACCAGATATATCAATATAGCATATATCAGGGCTTGAAATAACGGCTTGTCATTCAGCATTGGAGCCTGTCTGGTCAAATTGTGCCTGTCAATTTAACCAGTAATGTTGAGCCAGAAACCAGGTACTTCACATGTAAGACTGTAAAACTTATTTGGTTTGTCATTGTGACCAGCAGCTGACCATGCATTATTTTAAGCTCTGCATATAATATACTCAATGATGAAACCATGGAGTAGAATTAAATATAGGTGTGTGTGAAGGGAGTTGGGAGAAGGAAGTGGTTGGAATAGCAAATCAACTTTCAAAGATAGGTCTTGTTACACATTTAACTTTTGAATCAATTGTTAGAAGATAATATTATTTTTTTCTGGTATATGTTGCATATACTGAACAGCCATAACACCATCACCCGTTATACACCATGGGGCATTATATAGGAACATTTAACTATAAATACTACCTGGAATCGGAAAGAGGTGATGATGTTTTACCATCACCTCCTATACACCCCATTCAGGGGCAGTATATAGGAACATTAATCCTACCTTGCAGGCATTCCTGGCTGAGAGCTGGGGGCCTAGAGAAATGCCATTTGCACGCTAAGGAACATTTGACTATAAATATTACCTGGAATCAGAGAGAGGTGATGATGTTTCACATTGACCTCTAGGCTATACTTACTCATGTAACTCCTTTATATCCTCGTAGCCACAAATAAACCTTTTCTCTTCTCTCTCTACAGCATGTCCTACAATACAGGAAACATTATAATTATAAAAGATAAAGTTATATATATGATGTTATCAACTAAAATGCTTCAAACCTGATGCAGATGACAGCATCCTGTTGGCCGTTAGTCCTAACACTCTCTGTACAAAGGCAACATGATTATCTGAGATAGAGGAATAAGAAGATTATTGATATTATCTAATGGCATGATAATGGAGCTGTGATAATGGACGCCAGTAAACTATGTCTGTTAAATTAACTTTAACTCTCACTTTACTGTCTACTAACCGTTAAATACGTTCTTCTGTAGTCTAAAGATTGATAAGGATTGATAAAACAGGGATCTAAATGATCTGATGGTATTCATTTTCAATCTTTTCCTGTCGTATCCTTCATCTACTTGAAGGTCTGTCCGTCTGTACTGTGCAACTCAGCGGTAGAGACTGTGGGCTCAATACACAGGAAGCCCATCTGGGCCCTGCCCTCGGGGAATCGCCTTGATCACGTGAAATTTTGTAAATCAAATTTTTATTTAATCAATCTTTTAGTATTTTATGAGATGCCATTGATTTCATACCAATCACGTTTTTGTTCAATGAAGGTTGCCATATCAATGAGTTATTTATCAGTTTTTCTTACACATTCCGTATTTTTATCAAGTTTTATATTCATAGATCATTTATAAAATGTTATCTTGGTCTTTCTCTCTTGTTTTCTCATTAATAATAATAATAATAATAATAATAATAATATTTTATTTATATAGCGCCCTTTCCTAAAATGTCCAAAAGCGCTTTACAARCAAATAATAATTAATAATAACAATATCTGTAATATCAAAATCAAAAAACTATGTAATCTAAAAGTCAATAAGATTTAACGAATGATCAATGAAAAGCTTTGCGAGATAAATATGTTTTGAGATAACTCTTGAAAATATTTAAAGATGTACTACATTTAATTTGCAGTGGCAAGGCATTCCAAAGCATTGGAGCAGAAATAGAAAAAGCGCGGTATCCATAAGACTTTAGATTAAGTTATCGCTTATTCTTTTACCAGAAATTTTCCTTCATAATCTAAAAATATTTTCTGAACATTTTTTCCTGAAAAAATCTGATTCAAGTCAGGCCAAATATTTGAAATAGCGTTTTTAAAATAGATTTTAAAATAGCGAAAGGAAACCATTCTTAGATGATGCGCACTGATTGGTTGGAGCAAAAACGATTAATAACATAAATCTAAATTGATTTGACAGCCTATCATTCATTGTTGGAGACAGCCGCTAGACAAGCCGAGACAGACAGACAGACAGACACGTAAACAGACAAATAAAGCTTACATTACTTCCATACTCCTTGATCCTCACAGATTCCAAGACTCATGTTTACTCGATTGTTATCAAACCCGATAAAATCAATAAGTATTGAATTATTAGAAGTCTTTGATATTATCTGAAAAACCCTTTCAATGGCAGTGGTTACGTCACATTTTTGTCAGGATGTCACGTGACTAATCAAGAAGGTACGCCATCTTGGTTTGTATCGCAGACTTTGAGAATATTTTTTGTATTCAGTTACTTTTGGGCTCCAAGTGGTTTAGCTGTTTTTCTCGTGAGCCAATTGTAAAAATGTCCGTCGTAGATAAACTAGATGCCGCCAGGCATTCTATCACGGGGTCTAATTTGGCTAAAATAGCTTGTAAAGCCACGAGTCGTGAAGTGATGGGGCCGAAGAGGAAACACATCGATTGTAAGTTGTTATTAATACTCTCTTGTTTGTCAAACTAAACTAACAACTTCTCTACTCCTTTATACAAACTTATGCCATTTTTTTTCTTTTATCTCAGACCTGATTCAATGTACTAATACAGACAACGTGTCAATCCCGAACCTGGCGGATATTTTGTTCGAAAGATGTACAAACTCGAGCTGGGTTGTGGTGTTTAAATCACTCTGTACATTCCATCATTTAATGAGTTATGGCAATGGGGTTAGTATGTGCATTAAGATTTATTTAAGATTACACCATTACCTATTACCATGATGAATAGTTTAATGTAGCACTACTCTGTAAATTACGATCGAGTAAAATATACCGAAGAAAACGCTACATTTTCGAGGCTTATTTTTGTTTAGTATTAGTGTCTGGTAGTGTGTGGTACGAGCTAAAATGTCTTGAATATTACGACTGATTATTAGACATCTGTATTATAACGGCTCACTTCTTCACTGTCAATTCTTCGCTTGAATTCGAATATTATTTCATGGGATTTAAGTTAGGAAACGAAGATTCAATCAATTATTCCTCGTACTTGAAAACAGCTTTGAGTATTTTGCTAGTTCGTGACTAGAACTGTTTTCTTTTATTATTTGGTACAAAAACAAAAACGCTCTCAATGACAAAGGAAGTTAAATCGAATTCCACTTTGCTTAACTTGAATTTCTGGCCGAGTATGTGTTGTTGTAAGTAAGCTAGGATGCATAATACTACTAGATGCGATAAATGGAGTAATATTAAAAATAACAAGAACACCCTTAGCAACATCACATGTCATTTTGTAACATGAGCAGATCAATTTATCTTAACATGAAACATGATAAAAATAATATTCTCTCAGTCGTCTTGGTTTCATTGCTGTTGCATCAGATTGCTTTCCGTTCATTTAGTCAATTAACATGTATGATTTAGTCAATCAACATGTATGATTTAAATACTGCATTCTCTTCCAGAGGTTTATTCAGTACATGGCCTCAAGCACCACTTGCTTTAGTCTACAGAATTTCTTGGACAAAAGTGGAGTTCAAGGTGAGTTAATTGAAATAAAAAATCTATTCATCTTTGATGGAAAATAGTCATCGCTTAATGAAATGAATGGCTTGCTTTTATGTATTCAAGGATATGACATGTCAACTTTTGTACGACGATACTCCAACTACTTGAATGAAAAAGCTTCTTCCTACAGAGAAATGGGTTATGATTTCTGTCGAGTTAAAAGAGGGTAGGTAAAGTGGGAGAATAATCCATTCATTCATTTGACACCTTTATACTAATTATAACATAATATAGCTTGTGGTCATGAAATAAACGATAATCTATAATGTATAAATAAAATGTTCTAAAACAGTTTCCTGACATTTCAGAATGATTTACGTCATCCCTTGATTAAAATTAACAATGTACAAAAATCCTGATTTTTATGTTTAAAACATCATCAATAATCCAATTTAATGCACTCAGACAAATGTTAAAAATCATTCAACCATTTTTTGACAAATTAAAAACAATTACAAGAAGCAGCTTTAAATGTTGCAAGCAAATTAAAACCTTTTTGAAAAGAATTTCCTAGAAGGAAAAATAAAGTTATGATCTTATTATGAAAAACATCAAAGCCAATATTGTAGTGACTGATAAAGTATAATTTTATAATGTGATAAGATTAGTATTAAATAGATGATTGTTTTGAGACCTGACTAGTTATGTTTATCTTTTGAGTTATCACTGTTTCGCATCATGTTTTAAACTATTAATTTTTGTTTGTAGGAAACAAGATGGAGTGCTAAGAACATTTGATTCTACAAAGGTTAGATAATTATCATCATCATCATACTAATAATGATAACATGATGTATTTTAGTATCGTTATAGTTATTGAGAATATATAGACATCTTTAGCTGGGGTGTAATGTTTTCCCAATTTCAGACCTCATTTCATTCTCTCGAGAATAAGATTCTTTGTTTGAGTTGTGTCCATATTCATGTGTCTTCTCATGAGCAACTGTTAAACAAAGAAATGATACTCAAGGGACTGACACATGATTTGAAATGGCCAAACATTATGCCAAAGGTGTGTTGAAGCTTGCCTTAATGTATTTTTGATACTTAGATTTACTTGATAATAATAATAATCTAATATTAATGTTTTTGTTTAGCTTCTCCAAGCATTGCCAGTCTTACAGAAGCAAATTGATGCTATATTGGAAGTTGATGTGAGTATCCACTTTTTATGTGTTTGATATTTGAGTTGCTAAACATGTAGCTTTGGATGTGTTATTTCTTTTGCGTTGTTGTGTGAATTATTGATTAAATTGCAACAAAAGTTGAGAAAATGAGAAATGGTATTATGATATATTAGATCAGTAATGTATCCAGGGATGGTTCCATAGTATCCCCCTTTGTAAAGACGATCATGTTCTTTGCGCCAAGTAGAATAAAAATGATTAAAATTATAGCTTGTCTATAAAATGCATGAAAAAGAACCCCCCCCCCCCTATAACATCTTGGATCCATGATCGACTGCAGCTAGTCATTGTTTTTACCCCTTGTGAAATCAATGGTGGTTTAACTTGGCAGTAGTGCACTTGCATCTCACCTCTAGGGTCTTCATTTCAAGATTGTTATTACAGTTTGTTAGGTCTTCCTTGATTCAAGGGTTTTTCCATGCCCAAGCCATGCCCTGACTTTGATTATCATTAGGTTGTTTAAGGTTTTTTTTGGGAGTTTGATAAAATTAAATGTTTATTTTTTTAAATGGAAGACTTTTACACGGTTATCTATCGACACAAATGTGTTTTTTTTTTGTTAACTAATTTGTTTCTATATGCTTGGCTATACAAATAACCAGGCAGAGATCAGGCATAAATACAGTTTCTTTTTTGGTTGGATATAATAATCACCTATGTTCTACCTATGTATGTATATATATTGTACTTGTAGGTAAAGTCAACAGAACTGTCTAATGGAGTGATAAACTGTGCCTTTGTCCTTCTGTTCAAGGTAACTAACTTCACATTTACTAATTGTTATCAATATCCCTCGTGAGAATCTGATAGCAATCATAGTATGAATCTGATTCTGTCTAGTAATAAGCTGCAGTTTGTATTTTGATGTTTCGTATCATGGTAGTATATTAGCATGTAGTATCTGTCTGCTGTAATGTAATACTTTACTTACTGACATAGTGTGCGTAATACTAATAATAAACTGGTTTACCACAACAGGACCTCATCAGACTATTTGCATGTTATAATGATGGTATCATCAACCTTCTGGGTGAGTACCATCTATATTTACCAAGGGCGGGTCCAGACAAAATTTTAGGGGGGGGGGGGGGG